TCAAAAGTATTAACTATTATATTATGATGAATCACCTTCGATTATGAATGAGATATTGCGTAGCTTGTCAGTTACTGTTTACAATGTCCATCTGAAAGCACGTGATGGAGATTTACTACTAATCACAGAACCGGCTTTACTGACGAGATGCGCATGACAATCGCATTGATGAACCTGTGGTGGTTTCTGCGGTGGGAATCATAATCAGTGGGAATCAGAATCATAAGCTATTAATAAGATTAGTATTGACCAAGTTCAGAGTGTCATATGTGGATCAACTTTGTTGTGAATTTTTAACAGTTTCAATATGAAAAATAACTTTTATATTGATTCAATGGATTTATTGCATTTTGGGAAAAACCCGAAGACTCGAGAGATGAACTAATCAATTCTCTTTCCGGCTCAGACTGCATTGGTAAAGCTTATGGGGCTGTCACGTGATGAACGAATGACTCAAACCCGAAGACTGGAAACAGGTGAACTACTTGACTAATTCCAGTACAGAACCTATAAGACCTCATGCGCGACTGAACGAATCACTCTCCGAGAGGACTCGTTCTTCCCAAGTCATTAAAGATTCGTTAAAAATGAACGAATCGTTCAAGAACGACCCATCACTAGTGTCCCGTTGCGTTGCATCGCGCCGCGTAAACATAAAACCATGTCTGCATTTGTGATCGGAGAAACGACAAACAACAAGCGCTACTCTACACTGCTCAAAACTCGCGTTTGAATTATCCGTGGCAAATCCTTTAAATATGAAAACGTACCTTCAGGCTGTGAGTCAGCATTATTTGTCAGCATGGTCAGCATGCGCGCCGAAGGGGAAACAGGGGAACTGAATTCACCGGAACAAAGCAATATGAAAAATAACTTTTATATTGATTCAATGGATTTATTGCATTTTGGGAAAAACCCGAAGACTCGAGAGATGAACTAATCAATTCTCTTTCCGGCTCAGACTGCATTGGTAAAGCTTGTGGGGCTGTCACGTGATGAACGAATGACTCAAACCCGAAGACTGGAAACAGGTGAACTACTTGACTAATTCCAGTACAGAACCTATAAGACCTCATGCGCGACTGAACGAATCACTCTCCGAGAGGACTCGTTCTTCCCAAGTCATTAAAGATTCGTTAAAAATGAACGAATCGTTCAAGAACGACCCATCACTAGTG